TTACTCAATTATTATTTCGTCATAAACATTTAAAACTCATGCACGCTGGTCCGCAACTACTCTTAGCGTCTATCAGGGAATCTTATTGGCCTATAGGAGGTCGTAATCTAGCAAAGTATTGTTATAGAAAATGTGTAATTTGCTCACGTATGAAAGGAAACATAGCTACGCCAGTTATGGGTAATCTGCCGGCGCAACGCCTCTCTCCAGGTTTCGCTTTTCAAACAGTAGGTTGTGACTATGCCGGACCTATTTTGTCTGTTAGTCGTCGGGGTCGCGGATGCAGACTTCTTAAAGTGTATATAGTTTTATTTATATGCTTCTCGACCAAAGCTATACATTTGGAATTGGTTGGAGATTTGACAAGTAGTTCTTTCATGTCTGTTTTGCATCGCTTTATCTCGCGTCGCGGAAAGCCTGCAGAAATCTTTTCAGATAATGGCACATCCTTTGTTGGTGCTCATAACGAACTTTCAGCTTTCTTAAAAAGTAACTGTGGTTCTCTGTCTGAAAGTGCAGCCAATGAGGGAATCAAATTTAATTTCATCCCTGCGTATAGCCCTCATTTCGGTGGCCTTTGGGAGGCAGGTGTTAAGTCTACCAAACACCATTTGAATCGAGTGCTGGGTAATAGTCATTTAACGTATGAGGAACTTTATAGTGTTTTGTGCCAAATAGAAGCAATTTTAAATTCTCGTCCACTGACAGCCCTCTCGTCGGAAACAGATGACTTGACGCCATTAACTCCTGGCCACTTCCTTATTGGACGCCCTCTTACGGCTCTCCCAGTTCCCGATCTTCTAGACCAGTCCGTCAGCAGTTTACCTCGTTACCATCGGATTGAGCAGCTTCGCCAACATTTTTGGTCTCGGTGGAGCCGAGAATACATTGCAGAGCTCCAGAAGCGTGTGAAATGGTGTTCTGGTAACAGCCATCTAGAGATCGACGCCTTGGTTGTTCTGAAGGATGACAACCTTCCGCCGCTCAAGTGGAGATTGGGTCGCATTGTGGCATTATACCCTGGTAAAGACGGCATCAGTCGAGTAGCCGATATAAAAACAAGAAACGGAGTTGTGCGGAGAGCTTTTGATAAAATCTGCGTCCTTCCTAAAGAAGACTGAAGAATTTCTGGTTGACAAGCAGGCATGTCAACGCCCGGGGGCATGTTGAAAACCTTTAAGTTAAACATAATTGTTAGGGGCAAGTTTCAGAGCAATGCGTTTCGTTATTATATACTGTCAAACGGTATGTATTCGATCTCGTTTTAACGGACAGAGGTCGCGGCTCGGAACCTTGCCCTCCATGTCACTCGTCCATGTACGGTTACGAATAAAAGTTATTGATCCTGTTAAACAACTAAATCTTTCTTTTAAATACGACCTGGCGCGCTCCTCTTCACACTTCACAAACGTATAGTCGGTTTAATGTACATTCATTAATTGTATCTTATAAATGTTTTATTTATTGAGACAAGAATATTTAATAATTATATTATATTAGGTCTTTACCTATGAAATTGCCGTTTTGTATGCAATAAGTGAAAGTACTTATTTTTTCAAACTTTTTTATTTCTGTTATTCGAAGTAATCAACCATGCAATCGACGCATCTTTGCCAACGCATTGGCAGTTTATTGATGCCCTTCTTGTAACAATTAGCTGGACGGGAGGCAACAAACTCTTCAAAGGCATTTTGTACTGCCTCTCGGGAATTGATTTTTTTACCCACTTAAAAGTTGTCTAAATTTTAGAAAAAGTAATAGTCGGTAGGTGCAAGGTCTGGTGGTCACATTTGCAACCAACTTTGGTCAATCGGTCGTCCCCACTGGTCCTTCACGACAACGCGCGGCCCCATACTGCGCAACAGACAGTCTCCAAGCTGCAAGAGCTGAGGTTGGAAGCTCTCCCTCATCCGCCATACTCACCAGACCTTATTAATATATCAGGTGGTCGACTATTACTCGTAAACTAATAAAGCCTACTTAGCTGTGATAGTTATCTTAGTTAAAATATTGTCTTCAAAAATCCTAATTATTTCAATATAAAAGAACATACCCACTTTAAAGGTACTAGAGGTACCCTAAATACAATATTTTTGAAGATTTTACTTTACGACTAATATCGGCGTGATTAATATGTATGTCCAAGCGAAATTACAGGTTTCTAGCACTAATAAACAAGTGTGCTTTAGACCACACGACTGAAGTAAAACTTCTTGGCTATGAGAGAAAATGTGTGCTTGCACCTCTCTCTCTCTCTTGCCCCTACAGTAATATACTAAACGTAATTTTCTCTATTTCTATCTTCTCTAACTTATTACTGTTACTTTTCGTAACGCTCTCGTCACGCCTAAAGCGTGCGTGAATAACTTTACTTCAATAATCTTGGAGATATAGTGTGGACCCGTTCTGACCCAGTTTGGAGATAACTTTAAACACAACATGTGATACCTGCTTTTGGAATATCAAATATTGGCAAATATTTTCAAATATTTGGGTGTATGTTACTGCACTTGTACTGAAGTGCATTTCTTGGTCTAGTATAAGTTAGTATTTTTGGAAGTCGGCTCAACTTTTATATAAGTAATTTATCGAATTTATTTAATTCTTTTATTGCCTTTCTCATTTTTTCATACTTTAAATACGTTCGTTTTTATTTTTTTTATCTGCTCACTTCCTTATGTTCACCCAAACAGTTTTTTCTTTTTTTTTATAAGGCACTATTATTACGATGTCTGTGCTATTCTTCTTGTATATTTCATAATTTCGCTCCAACATTAATCCACTGTCTCATCTTGACATCCAGTATTCCTAATATTTTCCTACTACTTTTTCTTTGAATACACAAGCTTTCTGCTCGTTCTGTAACAATCTCCACCTAATCCGTGGGGGGGGGGGGGAGGTGATTCATTCCACTCTTACCTTATTATTATACTCTTTCTCTTTTTTCTTTATTAAAAAAGACAACTCCCGCATGAGGAATATATCCTGTGTCGCGGGGGACTTTACAAACATACATGAAACGGACACAAAGAACACCCAGACTCAGAACAACAATTTGTGGATCACACAAAGTGTCGTCCCATGTGGGGATCGGACCCACAACACTCAGCGTAGTAGTGAGCGGCGTGGCGACCGCTTAAACCACTACGCCATCCGTGCAGTCATCAGGTTACCCTGAAACCTTTGTTTTGAGCTGCAGTATTGATTTGAGGTTAGAAAGTAGTCAATAATTATAATACGAGTATATTCGGATATTGATGCACAACGCCATCTAGATTCAAACTAAGCAGAGCTTGTACTACGAAAGCTAGATTGACTGATAGAAGACTCATATACTTGTTTTTTGTAAATACATACATATTACACATAGAAAATCCCCAAACTCCGAAACAAACATTTGATTCGACCCGAAAATCGAACCCGAGATCTCAGCACAGGAGTCGCATACGTTCCACCGAGGCATTCTATGTTCTGTAGTATTTCACAAGGTTTTCTAGGTTTACTTACTTTTGCTTTATCACGGGAACAGCCGCCAGATTAGAACAAGAGATGGGGAACATTTAGACCAACTCCAGCTCTGTATCAAACTTCATACTTCTAGGATTTGATGTTCGAGGTCGAGATTCGAGTTATTAAAGTTAGCGTATGGTGCAGGGAGAAGGGCTTTATGATGTTTTATTTCTATAGGCTTATCCGATTCTAAGTAGAGGTGGCCAAGAAATGGATCAAAATTTATCTTAAAAAATAGTACTGGATTGTTATGGACTTACCCAAGCACTTACGAGATAATTGTCATATAATAAATTAAATTGTTATCATTTTAGGGAACATGTTACACCATCTATTGTGATCTTAATTTATTAATTGTTGTTCACTTATAGTACCATAATTGATCGAAAGATGGCGTGGTCTACATCGATCATTTTGTAGATCGCGATCAATTACTACCACACTATGTTCAATATTTTTTGTCCATTGAACAGACTTGGAGCGTACCTCCAGGTGGGAAACCTGTTTTTTTGTTTTATCAATCCCCTAACCTTTTAGTTTCCCGGAGGTTAAACAATAATAAATAATACAATTCTTGTGGTTTTCTGCTATAACTTACGTCTTGTATAGGGTCTTAAAGACGCCTCACAGTATTTACCCAGCTGACGTCTGCCTAGTACAAACCATGGGCGAGAAGGTGATACGTAGGGGCACTTTCAAGCAGTTGCAAGTAAGTGTTAGGGAACCTATAAACTGGTTCACCTCAGTGGGGACACCCAGTACCTGCCCAACGAATGACTATTTCGTCTAAAACTCTTGCCGTGCATTAGTATAACGACTAACAGTTCTATTTCATATCTTGGGTGCAAGTTTTGTCTCTAGTTTCAATTCTACCTCGTAAACTTTGGTTACATTCACATGGCTTGTATACTAATCATATTTTGGTCACGTTGTGGTTCTGTAAAGGTGTATATGCGGCGCACAAAGGTTTCAAAATAAAGTGAACACACATTAAATGATATTTTATTGAATGAATGGCGTGTCGACAAGTGAGATATCACTCGTGACCAACCACATATTATAACTATGTATTTACAAACTCATACATTCACATAACAATATATTTTAATTCGTAGTTCACGATCCGACGCCGTGTCGGCGTCGAATTGATAATTCGTAAGTTTGCAACGACAACAACTTTGTTATATATAATTACTGTACAGTCCATTTACACAACGCGGTACATGGGTATTCCTAGGAGGAGGGTCGGCGGGTCGGGATTAGTTCGGTACTGTTCGCGAGTAACTGCTTAAAGCAACACCGACCACTACATCAACGATGAAATTAACCACAAAAGTACCAGTATACAGTGAATCGAGCTAGACATTTTCAGTTAGACCAGGTTCACAGGCTGGCCGCTGCCGATGAGTCACGATAGCACTCACATCGCCACGCGCACGCGCACTACATTAGAACCCCATTCGCGCGGCGGCGGCGGGCGCCGTACGCCGTTAGAAGTGAGCACGGGAGTGTCCGTTGTTCCAGCGCGAGTCTGAAGTACTCGAGAGCTCCGTGACAGGTGCCGGGTAATAGACGGTGGGTGCGGGTGCTGGTGAGGGCCGCGGGCGGCCGCTTCCCGTCAGTGTCGTACTGCGTGAGCTGCGCGCCTCGGAGCGTCTCAGCGTGCCGTTACGCGCGAGCCGCAGTGAAACGCGCTCACCGCACGATGCGAACGAATCGTCGCGGGTGTGCTCGGGTGAGTCCCGTCGTCGCATGCCACCTGCGCAAAACATCTTGAGGAAAACACGCTTGAACTTCTCCCCGAAGATAACGTAAATGACGAAGTTGACGCTGCTGTTTATAGTTACTAACAGATTACTCGTCTTTACGAGCGGGTCGAGCTTATCAAACTGGTCGTCGAGGAATACTTCAAAAGAGTTGGTGACGAGAGGCAGGAGGTTACACAGAAAGAAAACCAGCACCACCACCAACAACATAGTAGCCAGCCCCAGCTCGCGACGCTGTACACGCGAGAGCCGTGCGCGTTCGGCCTGGGCTCGCCGCACCTGGCGTACGATGCATGCGTTGAGCGCAGCCAGAGCGGTGAAGGGCACGATGTACATGACGATCATATAGAGCGAGTGTATGTAGACCACGATATAGGACTCTGTGCGAAATTCAAGGTCAGCAGTGACGCAGTACACTAGCTCTCCATCCACCAGGCGCTGCACCAACTCTGCTTCAAAGAATTTGGGTGTGTTATAGGCGAGCGCGAAGGCGGCCGTACCCAACACGTACCAACGCGCCCTCGACGATGTGCACAGCGCCTTGGCACGGAATGGGTGGCACACAGCCACCCAGCGCTCGATGGTGACAATTAGTGTCAGGTAGACAGACATGGTCTGCGCCGCGTTCGCAATGGGGTAGGCGTAGGGAGTAATGTGCGGGCACACATGGTAGTAGTAGTACCGCATGCTTCCAGTGTAGGGGAACACCGCAGTCAGCCCGAACAACAGGATGGAGGTGAGAATGAGCACGGTGTCACACGCCGCCAGCCCCACTAGCAGGCAGTTGATGGAGGAGCGCATCTGCGGCCGAGACAGCACTACGACGGACAGCACGTTCCCCAGCAGTCCGCCCGCGCCAATCACGTTGAGTAGCACGCCATGCACCACGAAGCGAAACAGCTTATCCGCTGGCTCTACGCCGATATCCGAGTCGCAGGCCTCGGACGCGTTCAGGCTCATGGTGGGGGGGCGGCGCCGCGCCTCCCGCGCATCCTCACCGCTCCCCCTGCGGCCACCGAGCGCGCCCCCGCAGCCTCCTCACGCGCCGCGCGCCTTCTGCGTTCTGCGTCTCACCATCTGTAGCAATAAACGAAAGACTAGTTATTTTGTGATCAAATTGACTTCAATCGTTACACGCACACACATCTAACACTTTTGGGTTTTAGTAAGTGATTTATGTGGTGAGATGGGTGGGTGATTGTGTTTAGATATATGTCACTTCTATGTGGGCTTGAACCGAAGAACCGAAGAAGTGCTGAATTTAAACGATTCAGCTTCCTTTTATGGCATAGGTGACATAGGAGCAGGCGAGTCACCTGACTAACTTCACATATCTCACACACTGCAGTCTGATCCTAAACCTCATCACACAATATTTGTCCTGGGTGTTATAGCGCCAGTGCTATAGTACCTAGGCCGAAACCTAGTGAAAGTGTAAGTGTAAACGCAGTGGACTATTAAGGCTGTCGATGTGATGATGTGGGGTAACCTTTCCATTGAAGAACTCTTTCGAATATCCCGTGTCGTCCCGTAACCGTCACGGTCGAAATCTTACATGTTCTTGCAACAAAAGAGAAACCGTTCACCGACTGAACTACGACTAACTGAAAGGAGTATATAAAGTTTGATTGGCTTGAGCTCGACTTCTTTATAATATAAATTACTTTTTCTTAGGAACTGCATTAAATTTATCTTTTTCACTACAACCATGCCAATCTCTTTACGCGTTGCTAGATGTCAACATATTTATTGTCCGTGTGACAGACGTCATCGGAACTTATTATGGCGTAGAGGTGTCGTGCTACGCGGCGAGTGCCGAGTTTGGGTGATAATGCGCGCGGTGTTGGTGTTGTGGTTGGTGTTGGAGTGCTCGAGAGGGGTGCGCGCGGCGCGCAGCGCGCGACAGGCACCCTCTGCACGCTACACGTTTTATCGCAGTATGGGCCCCCCTCGCGGCTGGGGCTCGCCCACTACAGGAGAGACGAGGCGCGTTTTTGGCGGCCAGTCGGCTGAGCTTGCCACGTACCCACCCACGTGCGTGCTGCTGGACCGGTATTGGACGGCGCGTTGTTCGGGCGCGGTGGTCTCGCCGCGCTGGGCGCTGACGGCCGCCCATTGCGTGTCGCCACACATCGCCTACGTGAAGTATAACTCTCGCCACCCCACCTCACCCGAGGGCGACGTAGCCACCGTGCACTACCTGTACCGCCACCCTGGCTACAAGGTGGTGCAAGAGGATGAGGGTCGCGGCATCGATGTGACGCTGCTGAACCACGACGTTGGATTAGTGCGCACGCGTCGCGACATGGTGCTCGCCAAGGAGCCAGTGCTAGAGCCACTCCGTGCCATGCGCCTCTACAACCCCGTGGATCTTAAGCAAGAGGATGTGGAGGTGAGCGTGACTACCTTATAACTTAAGTTTGCATGCTTTGTTATATCGTTGGCAGGTGTATAAGTGTTCGTGCCATAGGTTCTGGGCTTCGGACGCACGGAGCGATCGAGCCTAGGGGAGGAACTGTTCTCGGTGCGACTGCGAATGGTGCCGTGCGACCGCGCGTCGTGGTTTCACTGCATGTGCGCCATCGCACAGACAACGGCACCGGGTCCTCGATCTGCGCGCGGAGTCTGCTCGGGCGACTCGGGCGGCCCCGTGCTCTATCACGGCGCGCAGATCGGCGTCACCTCCATGGGTCCGACTGAGTGCTCGGCGGAACGCATCGACCCGCCGGAGGGCGCCACCAGCGTGTTCACAGCTCTCTACAACTACGCGGACCTGGTGAATGCCACTATTGCCGACACGGAGGCGGCGCTACGCATGCAACGCATCAACACTGCATCGTGTATTACTGTTTCCCACAACGTTGTGCTGTTGATGCCGCTGGCAGTGCTGGTGTTGCCAGTTCGGTGAGTTCGCTTTTTGGTTTAAACAAATTCGTTACACATAAATGTCTTTTATTGTGAAGTAGTACAATGTATACGGCGGAGGCGGAGGTGTAAGTTACTCGATATGAAGCGGTACATGGAATGACACGCACGTACCGCCGATAGGGGTTACGTCGCAGCAGTGTGACGTGCTAATGCGGTAACGGGGCACTCGTCCTACCAATAGAGAGATATACTCAGTTGAAAGAGTTGGACACAACGTGATATTTACAATTAAAAACACTACGCGAGAAAACCACGTGCTGAGTGTTTGATACGCTCGATAAAGGAAACTTCTTTTTCATAACCATCCATCTTTACATAGTATAAAATAAAGTCGCTTTTTTGTATTGTACTCGTACGTTTAGATCGTTTAAACTAAGCGACGGATTTTAATGCGAAGAATGTACCAATAGAGAGAGTAATTTAAGAGGAAGGTTTATATGTGTACATACATATTATAGTAGAGAAAATCCGAGAATTTGTCGCAATAAACATGGTTTTGTGCGCTTACATTTCAAACGCAAACATACATTTTCTTACGAGTTAGACCAAAAGGAATTACCCATAAGTAATCTTTTTTTACTTTTAAATGTTAACGAAAAATAATGGGTTATTTACGAAACTATTTTAAACAATACATTAATATTCCTTATCCAATCTACATTAAATGCACAACGCATCTAACGTTAGATGCGTTGTGCATTTAATTTTACAGCATATCATTAAAAATAATATTTTAGAAGATATTAAAAGTTTAAAATGCGGGGGCCTAACGGCCGTCAAGCTATACGTTCGTCCCGGGTGGCAGCGGCCGGCAGGATCAGAGCGGTCCTATAAATGTTGCATTTAAACTACATGAACAAGGATGTCATGTAGTATAGTCCTATCATAATAATACTATAATTAATTACTGCACACTGACACCACATTTGTAGTATTAATGCTTTTTTTATAATTTAATAATTATTCAAAAGTTGCCGAACTGTTTCTGGTTGTATACCTACAATTCAAATTTTATATTGACACATGTTCATCATCTAAGTTAAGGCTAAGGTATTAAACTTTTTTGGCATCTTCACTATAGGCCCTTATCAAGTATATTATTGTGGTGTTGGTATTGGTATCAATAAATTATTATTATTATACATTATCTCTGACGTCAGACCTATAAGCGATAAAAGCGATATACGCGCAACTGCTAACTTTGGCAAGTCGCAAGCCCTTCGCACCACTTCCAGGTCCCCTGGGTGAAATGTTAACAAACCTGGGTTTCTTTCTCCTAGTCCCGGAGAGCCACGTTCCCTGCCATGTCCATGTAGATCGTAGATCCGTTATCCGTTTTCAGTTGTGTTTCTGAAAAGCTGCAAGCGAACCGTAGTAAGCAAACCGCAAAATGTATGTGTGATATAACGTAAAGGAAGGGTTTTGATATTTACGACAGCCGCGACACAAGAAGTGCTACGGTAGCGAGAGCCTACGGCCTAGCCTGTGTCGGGTAGTACGCACTCGTAGTCCACAACTACGCCGCGCCGCTCCGAGTGGCGGTGTCACGTTTCGGGTGCGTTGGGAATGACGCGCCATGTTTACTCAACTTGGTTAATTATCGTCGCTTGTGTCGCTTGTACTTAGTACGGACGGAATGTATGTAACAAACAGAAGGCGCCCTTGTACGAATGTTTTACAAAAATTATTAATGGAATATATAAATAGCTGAACCCTAAAAGCAGAGCAGAAACTTTTTGCCTTAAATTGTATTGGAATATCACCTGACAACCAGTATTTTTTTGTTACTTGTTCAAGTAAATAAAGTGACACGGTGGGCAAAGTAATTTAGTATGTACATCAATCCTTCCAATGTCATCTTTGGTTCACGACAGGATAGTAGTTCTGGTTGGTGGACATTCTCTCTTTGTTGGACGTCACAGGGGGAAACTTAGAAAAGCTCCCCGTCGCTCGTTGAATTAACATTTTAGTAGGTGTAGGCTTTGAGTAACAATATCCGTTTACCTCAATAATATCCTTCGGCTTAGGCGAGTTGTCTCACTGGCCCGGCTTTTCACACGCACCGTTTAATATTACACAAATAATACACGTCCAGTCTGTAACTGGACGTGTATTATTTCATCACAATGTGTGCGACTTATGACATAGCCGAATTAATGGAAAGTTGTCGCCCTGAGGGATGTGGTTAGCTGGTCGCCGTATGCAATTAGCATAAATGCAAATGCAAGAGCCTTTCCAGTAACTTGACCCACTAATTAGAATAGAGCTACGATTAGGGAAGCCATTTGACATAACAAAAACGTCAGTAATGATATTCTCTGACCGTGGCTTCGCTCACCGAACATGTGTTCTGAAATAGTTGACAGCGTCTCCCACCTCATGAGTATCAGACGAGACAACCGTCATCGAACAGTGACGGCCAATGTGTTGTACTGGTTGGAGCAGGCCAGAGAGTGCAATTATGGTATGGCCTGAAGGTATGGCTTTATAAGTCATTTGTATCAATCAGGAATAGAGTAAGCATACCACATGGCCTAATACCACTGTATAATGTTTGGGCCCTGTGTTCGGACTGTACTATTCCATAAATTGTATAGAAACTTTTAACGAGCCATTGAAGCCTTTAAGAGCGCTATTGTTTTACGAACATTTCAGTTTCTACCTTTTTAAACTTTATTCAAGCGTATAATTTACGCTTTCAAATGATATCTTTTCGAACAAATGGAGTCGTAGGGTCTGGTTTCAAAGTTTAATTTAAACTTGAGACCAATGTTTGTCCAGTGTACAACGGTTCGTCCAGAATGTTCCATCTATATGTATATAAATAAAAATAAATCGCCAAATGTGTTGTTAATCGCAATCCTCGAGAACCTCAAACCACTCAGCTACTTTTTTTTTTAAATTAAGGCATAAGGAAGGTTCATATGGACAGAAAAACGTAAAAATTGCTAGGAAATTTAATAAAAAACGGCGTGAGGGGTCTAGGGACCCCCGGTCGGAACGAAGTTACTTACACTTTTTGACATATATTTAGAGTTTGCAATAGAGTTAAATTGAGAAAATATGATAAAATATAACTATTATGTATTAAATAAATAATGATAAATTATACACTGAATAATTAAATTAGTGTAAATATTATATATATATATAAAGCAGGATATATAAAAAGCAAGTAAAAATATATATACATAGGCTAGATTGATTGATGCTGTTTCTGAGATTGCAAAGGATTTTATTGTCTATTTTAAGCATATTGCATAAACGTATTTTTTATATCATTAATTAAATTTTTGCGCAAGTCTTTCTTGATGCATTAAAATTATTATTCATTCCGGAATATTTAATTGGCCGGGAGAGTAGATCTTGGTTTGAATGCCTTTGTTTCCCGTAGTGTTTTATTAAATTGTTTATAGTTATTCATAGAATAGGTATCTAATATTTGTTAATGAGATGTTTTATTATAGAGTAGGTATTGGTGGTATAAGTTTTGAAGAGTGTGACGTGTGCAAATAGGTAAGTATTTTGTGAATATTTTTTGTTAATAGATATCGTATAGTGACGAATTGATGATGGCTAGCATATCGCGAACAAACCCTAGGTAGGTAGGTATATGTATATAGGTAGATATATGGGATTATTTCTGTAATGTTGGCGAAAATTAATTAGTTTAGTTAAGCCATTAATTTTTTGTAATATATCAAATATAGAAATGGTTACTGTGGTTTATCCTTAGGAAATAGATATACCATCGCGGCCTGATTTGTAGATCTTTTTAAGATATAAAATGCCGTATTCAATTTTTTGGTCTATCTCGTAAGGTTTAGCCAGCGTTTGCAATGTAAGCGCACAATAACATATTTCTTACTACAAATCTTTGAAATTCTCGGGTTTTCTCTACTATAATATGCATGTATCATACAAATAAACCTTCCTCGTAATTATTCTCTCTATTGGTGAAAACCGCATTAAAATCCGTTGCTTAGTTTAAAATATCTAAGCAAGTGCATGCGTACTATAGCAAAAAAGTGTCGGCAAAAAGTCTTGTTACACTTTTTCGGTCTAGCCCCCATCCGCTTTGTGCGTATAACGCGCGATAAGATACTTCGTTCTAAAATGCCTATTAAATTTTAAATTCAAATTAAAAGGTCGTCACTGAGCCATGCAGAGGGTATTTGATACAACAGTTTCCACTGACTTAGGTCGTTTACATGAATTTATATATATATATTAACTAAAATGTACGTACATAAAATGTTGAAGGTACATAATTTATTAGTTAGTTCTAGTAACAGGGTGGTAGTGCAGACTTAGTCAAAGATATTACACATTTCGGTTAGCCAAACGTTTGAGCGATGAACAGGTTTCGTGTTTGTAACAAGATAAAAGTGCTTTGGCGGTATAGGTGTCTCGCGCAGATCGGACTAACTTTAATTAAAGTTAGGGCAAAATAGCTCCTGGGTTGTCAAACTCTAACTGGACTGTGAGTGGATGTGGCTGTTGGCGCAAGCGACGCACCCCGCGCATGTGAGCCGCACAGAACGCCATCTCAGCTATCGCTTACAGTTGTTTATTATAACGCTACTTTGCTATACCGAAGCTTTAGGGCACCAAAGGTCGGGCACGCCGTCATTGCGGCGGTAAGACCCGTTATGGAGGATTGGCTCGAGAGGCGTCACGGGACCCTCTCATACCGATTGACGCAGGTGATCACTGGGAAGGGATGTTTCGGAGATCACCTGTGTCTGATCCGCAAGGAGCCAACGCCTGAGTGCCACCACTGCGATGGCCAGACCGTGGACACGGCTCTCCACACGCTGGCAGAGTGCCCGGCGTGGGTTGAGCAGAGGCGAGACCTCGTGGCGGCCATCGGAGTGGGAGTTCTCTCGCTCGATAGCCTGATTGCGGCTATCGTGCGGAGCGAGAGTGCGTGGAACTCCGCCGTCTCCTTCTGCGAGCAAGTTATGCTCGCGAAGGAGA